TTGAAAAATATTCTTCTTGAAAGAAAATTTATCAAGAATCATTTGGTAATTTGGATTTCAGGAGAGGTTGATTTAATTGCTAAATAGTTGGTTAAAACTACTCGTAAAAGATGTATGCTATTATGATTGGGTTATTTGTCCACCACCTTTTTTCTGAGTCATTAAACGTGAATGCTGATTATGGTGAAAAATCTGATGCAATTAGAGTGGGATTTGGCTGAGTTTTTTTTTTTCACCTTGTGTTCGTTATGTTTTCTTACATTATTGAAATAATTATATGATATAGTCTGTTTTTTATCCGGCAAAAAGAAAAGCTATTAAACAGAGAATGAGAAATAAATATGTTAGTTGTGGTGCAGTTGTTGGGGAATCATGCTTCTGCAATTTACTAACAAGAGGTTCCAACCCGTTCATGATCCGATTATTGGAGTGGAGTTCTGCGCTCATATGGTCACCACCGAAGGCCGACCCATCAAGCTCCAGATCTGAGACTGGGTGGCGATGAGGATGACGGTGATGACTCAAGTGGAGAAGGAGGGGGTGAAAGTGCCGGTGAGCTTGGTGAAAAGCCAAGCATTCTAGCACTTGGCGATAGTGATAGAAGACCCGTTTGGAACAGTTTATAAATAGCTTATAAGCTGCTTTTTAATAATGATTTATAAAATAAGAGATAAATATATAAAAGAAATTTTATCTCGACTTACGTAAAACGTGTTTATAGGAGATTTTCACCGTTTTGCCAAACTGGACCAGAGTCGAGGAAGAAGATGCTGCTATGGTGAGAAAAAAGACAGTACTAAAAGAGAAAAATATCAGTAATAATTGAGTTACAAACTTAGTAAAACTGTAAGGACTGAGTTGTAATGAGTTGAGTTACAAACTTGGTCAAATTACAAGACTAAATAATTTTTTTTTTTCTATTTTAAAACAAACAAAACCCAGATCAAAAGCTTCTTCTATTGTTTTGAAAGCTCAGAGATCAAAAGCTTGAATGATTATTTGTAGATTATTAAGCAATATGATTTGTAGCTTGCTATAAAAATATTAAGCAATATTACAAAAATAGAGCCAAGCCAAAATGTTTGAACTTCTATAAACAACTATCATTCTTCACCTGTAAACCAAAAAAAAAAAAAAAACTATCATTCTTCATCTACCAGTGCAGTGAATTTTTTTTGGGTGAAAAGTGCAGTGAATTTTATATTATCAATTATTATTTTTAGATATTTTAGATTTTAGATTATTTTATAATTTACACGGACATATTTTAGGGTGTATTTGGATAAAACCAAACCGTGGTTTGGAAAAGTGATTCTGGAGAATAGATTCTGGAAAGAATAGATTTTATGAAAAAATGATTTTGAGAAATAAAAGTGTTTGGATAGTTGTTATCAGAAGTACTTTTTATATATACAAATTACTTAAAAAGAGACATAAGTTAATATGATAATTACAGAAAAAATAGATTTTATGATATATTTTAATTTGAAAGAATAAAATTGTTAATAATATATTTTTTATTAACATAATTAATAATACATAAGATAATATAATTAATAAATAATTAATATGTATATATATTTATAAAATATAAAATTAAATATGTTTATAAAAAAATAACAAGATACATATCCTATAGGCTCTCACACTCTCCCTTTTTTCTTCAAAAACAAAAAAATTTTTTTTTCTAAAACTATGATTTTGGTTTTTGGGTGGGTGTTTGGGTGATTTATTCCCCAAACCATGGTTTGGGGTGTCACCCAAACACAGCCTTAATATATGTGTGTGTATCCAGCTATCACTCTCTTCTGATCGTCCTCCTAGCTTTAGAATATATTAGTTTTAATAAAGGGAAAATTTCACTGTAGGACCGCAGAAGATAATTAATCTCAAATAGCCCCCAAAACTTTCTGAAATCTCACTGCAGGACCAAGGGGCCAATCTGATATTAATTCCACAAACGAAATGACGCCACTACCCTTAGCATCAGATGAACCAGTCCACATGTGAACGGACTGATTCCACGTGTGAATATATGTATTTCTTCTGCAAATTGGTTAGTTCCCCTTGCAAATGCGATCTCCCGCACTTGTTCCCTCACGGACACATGCTTCAGGTGAACCAGTCCACATGTAAACGGACTGATTCCACGTGTGAATATATGTATTTATTCTGCAAATTGGCTAGTTCCCCTTACAAATGCGCTCTCCCGCACTTGTTCCCTCACGGACGAATGCATCAAGTGAACCAGTCCACATGTGAACGGACTGATTCCACGTGTGAATATATGTATTTCTTCTGCAAATTGGCTAGTTCCCCTTGGAAATGCGATCTCCCGCACTTGTTCCCTCACGGACACATGCTTCAGGTGAACCAGTCCACATGTGAACGGACTGATTCCACGTGTGAATATATGTATTTATTCTGTAAATTGGCTAGTTCCCCTTGTAAATGCGCTCTCCCGCACTTGTTCCCTCAAGGAAATAAGTTTCTACTAGGGGCAGTGGCGTCATTTCGTTTGTGGAATTAATATCAGATTGGCCCATTGGTCCTGCAGTGAGGTTTCAGAAAGTTTTGGGGGCTCTTTGAGATTAATTGTCTTCTGTAGTCCTACAGTGAAATTTTCCCTTTAATAAAAGTACCACTTTGTCATCAATTATTCATTTTACTATCAGTTTTCTATTTGGTGTCAATTTTAGTGGAAAATGGATAGGATAATAAAAGCTTGTAAATTTTGACTCTTATGTATGATGACTTTACGCCAATTTAAAAGGTCGACATAAAATTTTTTTTTACAGGCATGGACTTATTCATTCATACTTTATCCAAATAAATTATTATCTCTCAATACTATAGTTTAGATTGATGCAACTACTGTCTACTGTCATCAAATGAGTAAACGGGATTTTTTATGGGGTCAAACAAACGGGGTTTACTTTGAGACATAGTTATTATTGACTCAGTTCCTGGAGAGGAACAAAGACTTTGAATTGAAGACATCGTTGCACAGAAAGGGGGGAAAATATCCCTATTGGAAATTTTTTCAAAAAATGTAAACAAACAATATAAAAATCCCAATTGTGAGATGACGGCGGTGGCAGAAAAAGGATTGAGGGCAAAATTGACATTTGATCTAATTACTCATAGTATGGAAATCATCTTTACCATTAAGAAAAAAATCCAACCAAACACACCCACATATATTAATGGGACCAAAATTATCATTGCAAAGTCATAATGGAGTTGAACCGGATCAGGCAATTAGCCACTTCATACTCTTTTTCATGTTTTCATTACATTTTGAACTTTTGGAAATGCCCGGCGCATAAATAATTCCTACAGCTTTAACACATAAGCAAAGCAAAATTGATAATTGAATGCGACAAATTAATGATGGGTGACCCAAGAAGCGTATCCCATCTTTGTGACCCTTTTATTCTATCAGTTTTTTTCCCCAAAAAAAAAGGGATGAACAATTTTGTTTGCAAAAGTTTAGGGACATAAAACGACACTACTTGCACTATTAGTCCACTCATAAGTGCCAACAACCTCGTGATTCTTAACATGAATTGACTAAACAACTTCATTTACGTTCATTGTTCACCAAAACAATGGAATCTCCTTGGAACATGGGACCTTGACGGGAATTAAAGCTTGAGCATGTCAAGTCAGGTGAGCATTCAAATGCCCACACGGCTGCACAGGAGATTGCATGGGCATTGTATTCATCTTTATGATTTATTCCTTCATGCATTTTTTATTTGCAAACTCATTTGATTAAAATGAGTTGACAAATCTAGTTCAGTGACTAAAGAGAGATTATGTCTCGGAGGGGCGTGGGGGAGAGAGAGATGACATCTCCTATTCATTTGACTGGATTAGAAGAAAAAGTTGACAACAATATTATAAACTGTAAACTTAGTTTTTTTTTTTTAACTTTAACGTTACAAACTAAAGGTAATCTACAATGATATCATTGTCTACTGCCAAACACACTCCAAAGGTTACATACTCACTCCTATACTAAATATAAGATCTAATTTATAATACAAACTACACTATAAATTAGATATTATATTTAAGATCGTAGGTAGTATTTTATTTTATTTTTTTATAAAAAGATAATTATATTAAAGGTTAAAGTACATTTAACACCTCAAAATATTTTCTCAAGTGCATTTAGCATCCTCAAATATTTTGTGATGCATCTAAGACCTTAAATATCTTTTAAATACGTCTAGCACTCTGAAATATTTTTTTACCTTAATATTAGATGCACCAAAAAATATTTTTACATGCTAGAAACACCTAAAAAAATACGATGCAATAAAAAATACTTCATAATATTAAACAGACCTAAAAAATATTTAAAAGTGCTAGATATATCACAAAATATTCTAAAATACTAAATAAACTTGAGAAAATACTTCGAAATACTAGATACACCTTATCCTTATCCTTTGTATTAAAACAACATTACAGGTAGTATTTTACAAGCGCATGTTCATAAGCTAATTTATGCGACCCCAAAAAAATTCCTGTCAGAGCAAGAATGATAAAGGCCTCCGAAAATACCTTCGCTGATCGTCACATCAGTGTGGTGAGTGAAGATGAGCAGGACATTATTACTTAGGTATCACTCGTGATGAGTAGTTTTCTCATTTATTCACGTTAGTCCAAAGACTCTTAAAGGAGCAGCTACCGCAAGTTCCACCCTTAGAGAGCGTTTAATCCCCGCATCGTTGAAAAGTGTGTGTATATGGGCGAGGGGTATAAGAACGTATCACTATTTGAATATTGGCCCTATTTGTAATAGTATTTAGTAAACATATTTTACGTAAACCAAAATAAAACTCACCTAGTATTTTATAAATTATGATTAAAAAACTACTTAAAAACTAATTCAAACAGGTTTATTATCCACCTTCTGTAATTTTTTTTCTTATTTGGTGTTGGTTAAAAAAGAAAAGCACCTATAAAAAGAAATTATATTACAGAGAATCCTGTGCAAGTGTCAACCCAACCCTCAGAGAACAGTTATATAGCTTTTCTCAACAAAAGCAATATGGTTTCGGAATCCCTTACCTCTTGACTTTCCTGGGAATCTTCAAGTCCTTGTGAAAAGTCGACATTAGTATAAGTTCGAATTCCTGGGCCACGTCCTCCAGCATCCCTTTCCTTTCCTTGCTGTGCTCGCTTCACTTCCTTTTGATGCTCAGTCAGTTCTAACCTCTTTCTTTTCAAATTTAAAGGCAGTGGTGGTACTGATGCCTCTTTCTTCTCTAGCTGGTTCCTATAATCCAACACTAATTCCACTCTCTTAGACGAGCTGTTCTGCTTTGGAGCCAGCTTGTATCCCCCAGCATGATTGGCTTGTTCTTGAGAGCGGCATTTTTGGAGAAATGGGAGGCTTCTTTTCTGGAGTTTTAACTTACGGTTTCTCGATAGCTTGTCCAAGACAGGAAGCAAATTGGGTGGAAAATCCAATACAAATTGTTGGCCAAACGTTGAATTCCAGAAGTCAATGGTTGGCTCTGAAATGGAGGCATGTGGGTGATCAAGAGTTTTTTCAAACAAGGGTTCGTAAAGTTGCAGAAAAGCCGAGCCAAAGTTTATTGGCGGCTGACTTCTTCTTAGGCACCCAAGAATTTCAGTCCACATGAGTTGGAGTTGATCATCGGTGCTTTCATCCCACATTCCCATATTTGATAGCCATTCAAGCAGTGGGGAGGACATAACCTGCAACCAAGCAAGTGGAAGATTACGTACTGCTCTAACAAATTTACATTTTTCAAACGAAGTGAGGCTCTATGCAATAGAACCACAACACCTCTCCCCCCCCCCCCCCAAAAAAAAAAGCAGGAAAAAAAAAAAGGTTGGGGGATAACCCCGAAACTCTAGCATCATGAGTCAGATACTCATCAACATTAAGAAAATTGCTGCCCTAGAATCCATTGCTTGAACCCAAAAGGAGTTGGCTCAGTGGCACTGAACAGAGCCCCAAGGGGCTTTGCCTACAAAGTTCGGAGTTCGATTTTTTTTTTTTTGGGGGGGGGGGGGGGGGGAACCTTAGGAAAGGGTCTGCCTGGCCACCAACACCTGATTTAAATTAGTTTTGGTACCTAGTGGCCCCATGGATACAGGATGCGAAAGCGGAAAAGTGTCCATTGGCCACCTACTCAAGGTCTATTCCATGAGTTCGTTAACCATTTCTGGTGCAATGTGTTAGTATACAAGATTCAGCTGACGCTTCTATGTAAATAAAGGAAACAAACCTCAAGGGAAATAAGAATATCTTGCTTACGGTGGAGACAACCGGCGAAGCATGCCAACGCAGAATATACCCTACGATTTATGCCAAACTGAAAATCAGACGAAGACTTGCTCTAAAAGCAGCCAAAGCATGCATTGGAGGAAACAAGTCATACAACTGTAGTGACTGACCTTGAGGCGCTGGCAAAGCCAGGCAGTGGATCTACTATCTTCTTCGTCCCCAAGAAGTTCAGGTACCTGTAAAATGCCGCACGAAAATGAGTCCCTTCGATATCGTAATTAAAATTCTCCAAATTATAATGTAAGCAATCACCTGCAACAAATAACCCAAATAGACAGAGGTATTTCAGAGTCTAAATTTTGGTTCTGTATAATATCACCCCAAAAAATAAATTCCAATGCTCATGCGCAAATAAATGAAATCCCTACCGACTGAGCAAAGCAGCAAAGTACTTGTTTAGCTTTCTATCAATTGACCACTTGAAATCACAATTTCAACGATCGTATAACTAACGTTTCAGAAGATGGAATCATCAACATTTTAACAAAATGCAGCAGAAAGAAGAAAAGCATGTTTAAATGCCAGTGAAACAATTTCTTAAATCCTTAATACAGAATAAGCGTAATATCAATTTTTTTTCCCCAACACAAGGATACAAAGAAAGACACCACCCAATTATGGATTGAAGAGGCTCTTTAGCTGGATTTGACAAGACATACATGGACTTACCTAGCAGCAAATTTTAAGCAGTTTTCAATGCTGTTGGATTTTTGCCTACAACTGCCATTTTGACTGCTGATTGTAGCCGAAATTAATTCTGTAGTCTGGATCTGTTCTAGAATGCATATCATAAAATTTCCCAATAAATAAAGGAGGTCAACACCAGTATTCTTCCCTGTTGATTTAGTATCAGTACTGCTCTCAAGTAAGCCAACATTTTCATCAAGGAATCCAGCTAACAAGGAACAAATATCTTCATGGAAATTGGTGGTTGCTGAACATCTAAATTCTGACGCACTAAAATGTCCATAAAGCAATTTCCACGTTTGGACAATGAGTTCAAGCATGGGCATTCTTTCTGATAATATGGGATGCTTCTCCAAGTTTGGAATGTCTGAGTGTACCAACAGGGGGTAAATTAAAAGATGGCACACGGAAGAATAACAGGCGTTGTCAGGCATTGCTTCCCGTATTGACTTACACTTAGCATCATGCACAGAATGTCTCATACCCTGAGCTACTGCTACCCATATATTTAAGTAAGTTGGATGAACGTGTTTGTACAACAAGCCAACACAAGTGAGAAGAATATCCAGGGAATCACTTGAGGAAAATAAAAACTTAAAATATTCACACATCCCTTGAGAATTGCAGTCTGACTTGGGGGATTTCGAAGTTAGCTGACCCACCATATGGAAGTAAAGTGCTATTAAATAAATCAATGGAGAAACCTTGTCCATATAAGAAATGAAAATGACACTAGGCAAATTTAGGTGTTTGAGACGATCTATTGGCTGCAAGCTGTCAATGGACTTTAGGTCAAATGCGAACTTGTACAGAGGAGATCCCAAGATAGAAGGACCTAACTCCTTAGTGGTAGCATCTACAAACTGAATGAACATGTAACATAAATCACTATTTTCACTGCTGTTTGAAAACAAATCCTCACATGTCTTGTTCATGAATGTTAGTAATGAGTTTAAGCACCGCATTATACCATCATAATTAATAGATGGATTTGTCAAGTCTAATTGAACCCCTTTCAGAACATATACAAATAACTTCAAGGCAGTGTCATAAACGGAACTTCGGTGCTCACTGGTGACAGTTGTTCCAGATGCTTGATGGATGAGAACAGATATCATCCTTAGGTAGAAGTCCAACCGGCTGATATCCCATGGCAGCCATTTGATGCGATGTTGCTTCCAAGAATATTTTCCAGATAAAGAAGGCCCAATTTCTGACAGTCTGGGTCTTGCCTGGTTAGTTGACTGGTAGAAACCATCCCCGCACTTCTGTAAAATACTATCACAGAGCAGGTCAAGGCCCAACGAGATCATCCTGTCATCCATTCCTTTCTGAAAAATCGCCTCAAGAATGGGCCCAAAAACCATCTTTATCGCCAATGGTTCATTGACAAAGGTATCAAGCTTATATAGTAAATGACACCATGTATTCAAGCAAGATAACTGGACAGATATATCACAATTACTAGACATAATGCCGATCAATGGAGTCATTATCAACTTTATACTTTTTGAAAATCCATTTGCTTCAATGTCAGTGATATGATGTCCAATTCTATGCCGTTTCTGAAGAGAATTCTCATCAAATGGTGTATTTTTCTGAGAAGCCATCACGGGACAGTCAATAAGAGCGTCGACTAGACCTTCCCAGGCAACCTGCATCAATGACATTGCGCATTATTTAAAATCACATCACTAGATGATATTGATAATACTTTCAGCCTAATATAGCCCATCCCTATGAATTTGGCCAATAAAATGTGGCAACTCCTATATAAAGTACCTGAGTGGCAATTTGAACTTGATAGTCAAGATCTGTAAATGTACTCTCAGGAATTTTCAGCATATCATTTACCAATTGCCTGTTCTTCAAAGCATGAGACCCTAGCATGCGGACAAACCAGCCCCATGCTTGAATAACTTGAATCTTCATACCCTGGTCAAGCAAATCCTTCATTCCAATGAGCAATTTTTTCTTCAAATCTTTGACAATAGCCTGGGTAGAAACGAGGTAAATAATTAGAGCAATGACCACATGTCAAACTGCTGGCCTTCACACTATGAATCAGCCTTGTAGACCAATAATGACGGATCATGCATGGTATATCAGCTCAAAAATTTGTTTCGATTGCAAGACAGAAAAAAAAAATCCGCACGAATTTTACACAACTGTCTACCATGAAAAACTTGCCTTTGCTCAAATCTAGCAAGTGTTCTGAATCGTTAGTCACTGGCTTCATGGGTAAAAGCATGTAACAATAACCTTAAGGTCTAACTATAATATATCACACCATGCCACCAAAGTTCAGGGTATAGAGTCAACACTTTATATTGAATAGCCTATGATAAGATCTGTGTATTTTGGTACCTTGGAGAGGTCCAGTGAAGGAGGAATAATTATGGACCTAGTCTTCAACATGCACCTTTCTGAAGCGTCCCTCTCTCTCTTCTCTGTGCTGAGAAGCCTCCTATATATTGGAGGAGCCCATATATGTGATGAGCTTCTCATTTCCTCCCTCAATTGAACAGCTAGCTTTTTTACAGCCTGTTCATTAAAAGATTAAAGATGAGAGTTGAAAGAAATTGCATGAATATAAGTGCCAATAATGATATCCAGGACCAACGTAAGCAGGCATATACGAAAGAATACTCCCAGTTATTCATTTGTCAAAAGCAGGAATTTTACACTACTATAACACTGACAATTCTCAATAGTGATATGATGCACATGTACATTGCTTTGCTTTCAAGGTTGTGGTGCCGACATTTATCTGTTAATGACACATTATGTTAATCAGCTCGAATACTTTATAATGTTGTTTATTTAACGATACAGTCCATAGATTAACGAGGAAAAAAAGAAAAATTGGACTTCCTTTCCTCCTTTTTCTTTATTAAATAAGAGACAAATGAACAAATGGTGGCTGCAGGAATAAATCCTTCAGTTAGCCCATGCATAAGCACCAGACTTCTCAATAGAACTATCAAGCTATTGGTTAAGGGAAGATATGAGAATATGCCTTAATTCTGCTTCTGTGTGAATACTACCCTAAAATTTCAGTCAAAGCGAACATATCATGGCAAACTACTATAAGGAGACATTATGCTAATCTAAGCGACCACCCAACAAAAAAGAAGAAGAAGAAGAAGTATAAAACTGGATGAGTTATGGACTTCTGTTACATCAATAGGTAAAATTTGTTCTTCAAGCACTTCCGTTAGTTCCAAACTCACAGTGCCTTTCCTTTGCCTCTTCTGTTATTGAATGCCATTGCTTCTTTTTTTAATTCTTTTCTGACAACCTGATACTAAGATTTTTCCCGACGAAGGAAATATGTACCTGGCTAGCTTCAAACGTTGTTGATAAAGAACCCATAGGATTGTCAAAGGCGTGAATGATTGCCAATAACAAAGAACGGAAGTGAGTTGCAAGAATGGATGCATCTATTTGCTGGACAGATATGCACCATACCCCTAAATTACAAGCAGACTGCGGCAAGAGTTGAGCAAGTTAATATGATTCTACCAAAAGTTTGGTGGGGAATGTGGCTATCTATAAGAACTTATAGAACTATCATGATGAAAGAGGACTCTAACCTTCAATTTTGTGGTCGTGATGAGTTTGACCAATGACTCTAAGACCAAATTGACATCATCCACTGCAATTACAAGGAGAAAACAGTGTTTTAAAAATCAAAGTGGCTCACAGACCCTTTCCTTTCCTTAAAAAAAAATGCATGTATTTTTTCTGCAGAGTGGGAGCATTAAAATCTTCAGCATGTTAACTCTAAGTCAAGGAGCTGGACATTTCTCAACTCCTAATACAATAAGGTAAAAGTTTGACTTGCTTTACTTCGCGTCAGATATTCGAACATGTATACAAGGCAGGTGAGGACAAAATAGAACTACAACACAACTGAATTATTTGTCTTCTAACTACACAAACTTAGTACTGAAATTGGAAAATACTGTAACCTTTCTCCATCTTATCATCAACTAACTGTTAACATCACGATAGGAACGAAGGCAATAACAAATAAGCTATTCAAAGTGACATATTGATAATGGCGCGCAACAACTTGACCGTTAAGGCTTGGGTAAAAAGACACTGTAACTTTCAACAAGGCATTAGATGATGGGGGAGTGGTTGAAATTGTATCGGCTGATGCAGATTAGCAGTTTTAATTGTCCCCTGTAAATAAACGCAGATACCTCGGAGTGCGGCCACAAGAACGGGATGATAAATCATGAAGCCCAAGCCCTTCAACGCCTGCGCAACTCTGGAAGCCGGAAAGAAGATAAGAAATAAAATATAGAATTTAAAAATCTTCAAAGCATTGAAGCAAGTCCTAAGAAGGTAGCTTGTCGATTGATGCTCACACTTCTTCATCATCGTCGTGGATGTCGGAAACTATTGAACAGATTAGAACCTGGGAACATTCGGTTAAGGATTGAATAGAAGAAGGATTGTGAGCAGAATGTTGTTGGAAATGCAGGAGCGTTGAGTAGCCCAAAGATTTGTTCCATTTGTCGTTTGAAGTTATAAGGGATTTGATATGATGGATCTCGTCCGAGGAATTTGACATAACTAGACCAGCCACTAGGTAGCGTTAGACGAGACTGAAACCCTCGCTCCTCCTGCCTCTGAGATATCGAACTCGAAGTCCCTTTTCGCGCCAAAGCCCGGGGAGGATTCAAAATAAATAAAAATGGAGGGAGAGAATGGACGGAGACCTTGTCTTGGACTTATGGAATATAAATTGCAATAAAATTAAAATATGTTAGAGTTAATTTCATAGTTAATTGGATTCTAAATGTAAACCGATAAAAAAATTGATATTCCTCCGGTCCTTAATATAAGATCCATTTAACTAATTTGATTAGATTAAGGAAGTTAGGTAAGTTAGTTAATTATAAGAAAAGTGACACATTTTTCCTAAAACACCATAATCATCTTTCTTAATACCCCATCTACCTCTTCTATTTGATTATAGTTGAGGAAGTATCCATAGGGGTAATTTAGAGAAAATTGAAAAATATGAGAAATGGGTCTTATATTTAGGAACAAAACCAACTCAACAATTGGGTCCTATATTAAGGACCAGAGGAGTACTAAATATAATATTTTAATTTATTTTATCTCTCATATTTATCTATTTTTTTAATAGTCTTTGTAATAGTTATACATATTAAAAACTTCATTATATAATAGTTTTAACCAATACACATCATTAGTAAAAGTATTCTAAAAAAGATAGCACATATTTATTACAAATAACCAATTTAACCAATTTTTTTAATCTATTCAAATTAGTTAACTAGTTCTTATATTAAAAAATAAAGGTGGTATGTGTATTTATTTGATGTTGGCAAAAAAAAAATGTATTTATTTGACAGTGGTTTTAAGATCATTTGAGGTTTAGTGCATTGAAATACTACCCTTACTACTTAATATAAGAGCTAATTGACTATTGACTAATTTGAATAAATCAAAAAAATTAGTTAAGTTAGTTATTTGTAATATATAGGTGTTGTCTTTTCTAAAATATCTTTGTTAATCAAGTGTATTAATACTAAATGACTATTTTATAAAAAATAGATAAATATAAGATATAAAATAAATTAAAATTTTATATTTAGGATAATCATAGACAATAACTTTATCTAGTATGGTCTTAATTTAAGAATTATTTACGTTGTTTTACGTACGAGGAGGAATCAATAACGGAGGAAGATGAACTGATAGCCTGTGGCTACGACCCGAGTTTTTCAAGTTTTTCTTCTTAATCTATAAATGTTATTTGTTCTTTGTCCTCCAAAATTTATATTTTTCCCAACAATTTATATAAACTTTAATTGCACGACTTTTCTTTTGTGTGTGTGTATATATATACACGAAAGTTATTTTAAAAAAAAATCTTTTGGTAGGCTATTTTCATATTATGTTTGTTCTTTATGCTTTGATTCTTTGTAAAAGTCTTAACTAGTTTTTTTGCCCACAAAAGTCTTAACTAGTTAATACCTTGGGAGAAACCAAATGCATCGACCTCTAAAGCTTGGGAAAAACCACATGCATACAGACTAAGATTGGTAAGATTTGTTTTTTTGGGTTGAGTTGTAAAATTTGAAAAATCAGCATTAACTTCTGGAAGTTGGTAACTACAAATTGTGATGGAACTCCGAATATGTCTGCATTATTTCAAGGTTATCCCAAAAAAGTAAAGCAATTAACAAGAGTTTAGGTCTAATAAAAAAATGGTTTAATCCTTAAATCAAAATTCGAATAGTCATTGAGAGATTTGTTCACACTTCGTACCTATGATTAGAGCCAGTAACACAAACTGGGCTCACAGTTTGCCAAAAAAGACGGGCTTGGGTCGACAAAATGCCAACCTGCCAAGGTGCAATCTACTCTAGCTCGCACCGTCACGGGTTGGCAGGCTGCCTGCTTTTTTTATTTTTTATTTTTCTTTTTTTCATATAATTCCTAATATATTGTATAATGTAATTAACATATTTTGACTTTCAAATTCTACATGAACAATTGGACACTGTCTTATTCGTATCATTACATACATAATTAGGCACTTTATATATTTGTGGCTGTGTGTATAGTTATATAAAGAACATCATCCATCTTTTATTTTTCATTTATTTGTTGCATTACTATACAAGCCTTTATAAGATTAAATAAACTTGTGATACTTGTATATATATAATATCTACTTAATTAATTTGGATAAAAAAACTAGTTAAATTAGTTATTTATAAAAATATGTGTGTTTTTTAAAAAAATATCTTCTTAAATTACAAATTAATCTTTATATTATTTTATTGCAACCCACTATTCAAATTCAAAATTTTGAACCCAATTTTAATATTTCAAACTAAACCCAACCTATACAATAATAATAGTTTTTTTTATTTAAAAATATATATTAAGGCGGGTTTTGCTAACCCGCACTACTTTAGGCTCAAACCACCGCGACCTAGCCTGTATCTGCACTGCCAACTCGCTTTCCCACCTCTACCTATGATGCTTTGAATAATATTGATTTCAATGAGAAGATGCCTGTACTCCACAAGGGATAAAAACAAAGTAAAAGACCCTTGAGTTTTTCAAGTTTTTCTTTTTAATACATAAACGTTACTACCTCCGATCCTTAATATAAAACCTCATTTGATTTTTATCTTAGTCCTAAATATAATATTCCAATTCCTTTTGTCTCTCATATTTATCTTTTTTTTTAAAAGTAGTCTTTCTAATAATAGTAGTTCTAACTAATATACTTGATTAGTAAAAATATTTTAAGAAAAACAACACATATTTATAATAAATAATTAACTTAACTTATTTTTTTTACCCTGTTCAAATTAGTTAACTAGCTCTTATAATCAAGATCGAAGGTAGTATTTGTTCTTTGTCCTCCAAAATTTATATTTTTCCCAACAATTTATATGAACTTTTATTGCACAACTTTTCTTTTTACACACACACACACACACGAAAGTTATTTTTAAAAAAAAAATTGGTAGGCTGTTTTCATATTTTATGTTTGTTCTTTATGCTTTGATTCTTTGTAAGAGTCTTAACTAGTCAATACCTTGGGAGACACCAAATGCATCGACCTCTAGAGCTTGGGAAAAACCACGTGCATGGACCTCCAAAGGTAGCTATACAGACTAAGATTGGCAAGATTTTTTTTTTTTGGGGTAGAGTTGTAAAATTTGAGAAATCAGCATTAACTTCTGGACGTTGGTAACTACAAATTACTCCTCCGGTCCTTATTATAAGACCCAATTTGACTTTTTATTTGGTCCTAATTATAAGACCCAATCCATTTTCTCTCTTATATTTATGCATTTTTTTTCAGATAATCCTTCTAATAATAATAGTTTTAGCCAATATACTTAATTAGCAAGGATATTTTAGGAATAACAACACTTATTTATTATAAATAACCAACTTAACTTACTTCCTTAATCTCCTCAAATAAGTCAATTGGGTCTTATAATTAGGACCAGAAGAGTATGATGGGATTCCAAATATGTCTGCATTATTTCAAGGTCATCCTAAAAAATAAAGATTGTTAGCATTATTGTTAAAAGTAAAGCAATTAACAGGAGTATCGGGCCTAATAATTTAAAAAAAAAAAACTAATCATTCACAACGCAAGAAATTAAAATTAAAATTGCTGTTGAGAGATTTGCTCATATTTAGTACTTATAATACTTCAAATAATATTGATTTCAATAAAAAGATGCTTGTACTCTGTAAGGAGGAAAAAAGAAAACAAAGCAAAAGAAAGTGAAGCATCTACAATTCGAAAGAACTTGTTTATTGGTGTGTAAGAGAGGGAGAGGGCTCAGGAATACTCGGGATGGTAATGCAATCATACATTTACGAGTATCCACCATTCTCCACACTTGTCCACCATCATCATCATTTTCCCAGCACCTCACATTTAACCCGTCGTCCCTTTAAAATTAATGTTCCACAAGAGTTTTTTTTTTTGGGGGGGTTCATATAGGAATCCACAGCACGAGATATTTTATTTCAAATAAATAAAATCAAATGTAGGGAGAAAAAAAGAGATGAATAGGTCATTCATCCATTATGAAGTCAGAATCGATTACATTCGGTATCTATTAGATCAACTTGATATTAAGAAAATTACTCCTCTGATTCTAAATAAAAGACTCATTTTATAATGTAAAAGTTTTATATTACAAAATGAATCTTCTATTTAGAACCGGATGACTATTAAGTCTCAAGTTTTCCTTGTTAATAATTGTCTTGCAAGAGACAAGTTGCTATACTGCTAATCTGCTATGATGAATTTGAGCTTTTTTTTTTTTTGTGGTTCCTGAAAGTTCTCCAAATGATGTGATGAGGTGGATATCATGGGGCAGATTTATCAATCATTCTATGCAAATGTCCCGGGGTGAAGGGGATATTTCCTATCAAGAACTCTTGGTTGTACACGTGTCACTTGACTTTGGCACAATTATTACTGTGGGGCCCATGGGGACGCCGCGCGTGAGATCGTGCGGGGCATTGGTTGGATGAGTCATGGATTATGGATTTCTGTTGGCCTGTTGTCCCTCCCTGAATCTTGCTGGGCTGACTTTTGAATCTTCAAGACAAAATTAACGTTTTTAGAATCAAAATTTCATAGAACTTATGATTATAATTAGCCTTTTAACCGTATTAAACATAGTTTTCAATCGTAAGCTAAACCATGAGAAAGTTTTCTTGCATAAAAGAATTTCAATTTAAGCATCCTGAAATTGAAAATTTTTGGATGTATCATTACATCCTATGTTTCTAACTATTTATGAAAATGACTTGAATCACCGATGATTTAAAGTTTCAATATTTTAAGCATAATTTTAACAAAGTTAATGCCATGCATGAACCTTTCTTCTTTGGTTTTTAATGGAGGCAGGGGAAGAATAGCAATTAAAAGAGATTAAAGGGGTATTTTGCTAAATTAGAAGTCGATGTTGAATTGGGCAGTCTTAACTCGAAAAGATCCAAACTGATGGCAACAGGATAGGTTAAGTACAGCACTTGTCTGTTTCT